GAGCCTCAGTTTTGAAGCCTGTTAAATGGGGCCAATTATAGTTCCATTTTTTATGGTCATAGAAGGTTGAAACCTGGGGAAGCGGTTAGCATTGGGCCATTTTGCCATGTCTCATTAAATGCGATCCGTTATCAGGTCTAGAGGAAATGTGTATATGGGTGTTTTCCCTCCTCCCCTGGGAAGTCCCTGGGGCGTTAGCTGTTGTGTTAACGCCTAGATTACTCCTTATCACTCACCCATCCAACTCGAATGGTAATGAGCCTCTGCACGGTGTCTTACCGTCAGTTAGAGAAGTGTCCTGGAGCAACACATCTATGTGTTCTCTCCCTCCCCAGTGTCTGGCAAACCCTCACGTTGGAAAGGACGCCTGGTCTTCCAGGAGAGCCAGCTGGGTGCATCTCCTGCAGGCAAGTGACTGCGATAGGGAATGGGGATGAGGTGCCCGGGTGCAACCTCGAGAATGTGCAGGCTTTCCGTGGGCTGGACACCCGGTTTTGCCTCTCCACCCCATCGGTGTGGTCCTCTGCTTCCTCCAGGAAGCCCTTTGTGTACACCGCTACAAGTCCTTAGTGCTGAGGTCGGGGAGGCTGAGTGGCCTGAGACTGCAACCGACCCCAATTTTCTTCTCTGAGTCTCCAGAAATGGAGCTGAGCCCTGGGGCAGCCTCGCTTCCAGGGCTTATCTACAGACCAACTTCACTCCCTTCGGCCTCCACACCCCTCCCTCTTACGACCGCCCCCTACAGCCCACGGGGTACCCACTCCAAGGAGAGAGTCTTGTAGCTTTCCCCACTCAGGCCAGTGGGCCCCTGGGTCGGCCAGATCTGGCCCACCCATTTCCTGTGCCGCTGCAACTCCGCCCCTCACTGGAGGTGGAAAGTTTCTCCCCTCAAGATGGGCGGCTCCTTCCTTCCCGGAAGGCTCAAAGCAAGGGGGAAGGGGATGCTGGGACCCAAAGCTTAGAGGCCAGGGGACAAGACTTGACTGCTGTCATACGCTGCAGAGCCAAGCCCCAGTAGCCTGGAAAACTTCCAACTTTGCCCGGAGAGGGAAGTTTCACACCCTGCGCCCTCTAAGCTTTTCACTAAGGGGTCTTGGGCGCCACCTGCCGGCAGAACTCGGACCACACTTGCCAGAAAACACTATTCCCAAACCAGTACCAATCGACCAATCAACCAGGCAGTCAGAATACAATGTTGAAAGTATTTATTTATTTTCTCATCCAGGAACTGGCCCCTAAACTTAAATATCCGGCATAGAGACCTTAGCCTTTCTGGCTTGTGAGTGGCTGCCGGGATGGGTCCTGGAGCCCTTGTCCCAAGCAGTGAGGCCCTGGGGCCACAGGTAGGGATGCCCCTGAGCCAGCAGCTGCAAGCGGCAGCAAAGACGAAAGAGATGGAAGCTAGGCACTCATCCCAGTCCCAGAGATGCCAACGGGAGTGCAAGACGCTCTGGACCCCACGGTCAGACTAAGGGCTGGCCAAGCTAGGGTGCACACGTGTGGGACAATGGGACACCCAGTGCACTGGGCATTGGCTGCAATCTTGGCCTGAAGGGTATATATATGCCTTGCCCTCCTGAAGTGAAGTGAGGTGGTATTGGTAAAAGAGCAGGCACTGTCGACTAAGGACTTGCTGAAGGGCAAGTTTTGAGCCTTTTGTATGGGTGCATTCCTATCCATCTCAGCATTTCAGAGGCTGATTTGGAAGGCATCCTGCAACCACTGGTCACGGGCATTGTGTGTCTGGGGCACGGTGAGAGGTGGAGGGTCTGGGGGCAGGCTGGCATCAGGAGGCTCATCATCATCAGACAGGCCGGCATCAGGTGGGTAGGAGCTGTCCGAGTGGAGGGAGGATGACAGGTCCTGGCACAAGCTCAGGTCTTGGCACAGATGCTTGTAGTCCTGGATCGACTCATACAGGCCCCACAGCTGGCACAGCAGGGACATATCCAACTGCCGCAGCCCCACCTGCAGACAACTGACAGTGGGCTGGAGTTGGGGGTCCAGGCCACCCTCAGCCCCCAAACCCAAAGTCCCCACCATGAGCCACAACCCTACCCAATTTCCTGCCCCTTCTTACGTGGAAGTTCTGGGGACAACAGATGGCACTTGCCAACTGTGAAACCTTGAAGCCAGTCGCTGGCACTCATTTATACAATGGTGCAGCACCGTCCAGCAGGATGAAATCAGGCAAGTTTTTAAAATGCAACAATTGCTACACATTGTTACCATCACAGCTATCCTAAAGCCCTGTGACCGGATGCCTTCTGCTGGCCTGAGACCTAGGGCACCCGTCCCAGACTCATCTCTGCCCTTTCCGCAGAGCCCACCCCCCCTGGTGGGGCGCCCACCTACTCACCATTTCCTTGCGCAGCGCGGCTAGTGCCGAGTCTAGATTAACCGGGCGGCGTGCGCCTGCTGCAGAGCCCGAGTTGGCAACGCCCGCGGCGTGACGGGGACCGTCCGGGGCGCGGGCGGCACGGCTCAGCTCGTCGTGGATGCGGCTCCGCTGGCTGTAGACGCGCTCCAGCTCCCTCCACGAACCCCCACTAGCGTTAAGGAGGCCGCTGAGGCCCCGCGGTAGAGGCGGGAGCCCGGCCAGAGCGCAGCCCGAGGCGCCCGGCGCCTCAGCTGAGGGCAGACCGTTCATGGCCCGGTCGAACTGGACCGCGAGGCCACCTGGATCCCTCCAATGTTTCACTCGGGCTGCGGCCCACAGGCCCTGCTCCCGGTGGCCCAGCCTCCGGAGGGATCCCAGCCGCCGCCCGCAGGCCGCGCTTTGTTCCTTCCCAGACTCCTCGGACTCCGCCTATGCTCCACCCCCTCCGCATGGGCGGGGCTTCCCTTAACGCGGCGATGGCTGTGGGGCCGAGCAACCCACCAAAGAAAGGAGAACTGGAGCAGTGAGGCTGAAAGGGTCTTGGGCTGCTCTTTTTGCAGCCTCATTTCTACACAATGTGTTCTACACAATTCCTCTCCCAAGGGAAAGATTCTAGAAGTGTGAGGATGTGGGAGTCAGAGAATGGAGTAAGACTGTGCCTGGCTCTAAAAAGGGCTTTGCTGGTCCGCCCCTCAACATGTCAACATCCCAGTGGGCAATCAAGATGCTCAGAGGGACCGGGCGGTGGTGGCGCACGCCTGTAATCCCAGCACTCGGGAGGCAGAGGCAGGTGGATCTCTGAGTTTGAGGCCAGCCTGGTCTACAGAGTGAGATCCAGGACAGGCACTAAAGCTACAGAAAAACCCACTCAAAAACAAACAAACAAACAAACAAAAAAAGATGCTCAGAGGGAAGGAAGCACCAAGGCAACTGAAACTTCAAACGGCACTCAGGTCCAGAAGGTGGAGGAAGGGGTCCAGAAGGTGGAGGAAGAGGTGCCGGATCAGACAATACCAGCGGCCCAAGCCTTTGAGGAGGCTGAGGTTACCTCCTTGGAATAAGGAGTCACTTATCCCTCTACCATTTACCCCCTGTCCTGAAGGCAAAAACCTCACCACTCAGGTAGAAAAGGCCATGAAAAGGTAAGATGCCAAAAGAAAAGGCGCGAATAGAGCTGGAGCTCGCATGCACACAGAACCAAGAAAGCAACAAACCACACAGGAATCGCTGTTTTTCTAGAGGGTTCTTCTCAAGGGAACATGGGTTGGAGTAGAGGTCTCAGTGCTGCAGCTGCTTCAGGCTGCAGAGGGCGTCAGCACAAGCCCGGATGAGCCCGCACAGCTGGACACTAGTCTCCAAGGAGGTGCTAGCGCCCAGCTCAACTGACGCCCAGGTGAGCTTCTGCAGGAGGGCTGTCTGTGTGGAAGCCACCACATCTGCATTCGGAGGAGCAACAGGAAGAGGAGGCCCCTGGGCTGCCTTGAGCCCTGCTGCGGCTCCCTCACAGTGCTCTGGGCGGGGTACAGGGGGCTGGGGTGTGGACCGAGAGCCCGTGGCAGGCTCTATGGCAGAGGCGAGCTGGTGTTCCCGAGCTTGAGAGAGGGCCGCCTGTGCATTCAGAGCTAAAAGGAAGAAAAGAGGTGGAATAAACAGTGAGGATGTGTGGTGCACCGCTGCCCTACGCCCTCTGCTCTTTGTTGCCCCTCCCGCGCTTCTGGTGTTCTCCGTGTAAGGCATTCCATCTAGTTCCTATCTTCTTTCTTACGCATGCCAGGCAAGCGATGTACCGCTGGTTTACACCCCGAGCACCAGCTGACTGACAGCTGCCCTGACCTCATTTATCCATCAAATCTGCCCGGAAGGCTGGGATGTGTACTCCAGGGGTAGAGCGCTTCCCTGGCATGGGCAAAGCCCAAAGCTGCTCCTCCCCTCGGCACGTGGGGATGGCTGGAGTTAGTGTTTTCCCTCCTCTCTAGGGCCGAAACGGGAAGGCACCTGAATCCCACCGCACGCAGAGGCCTACCATTCCTGCACAGCCATCACGGCCCGTCCCCCAGAGTGCACAATCGGCCCCTCACCCGGATTGTCTTTATCCACATCTGAGTCGAGCTCCTGACAAGCCACGCAGTAGATTTTCCGCTGTTTATCCTGGAGGAGGATCGTCTGGGAACCAGAAAGCACACGGACACGGGTGAGCCTGAGCGACAGGGTCCACGGAAGGGAGAGCGGAGGGAAGGACGTGCGGCCCAGTCCGAGGCCGCATCCTCGTCTCTCGCCTCACCCCGCAGTCCGCGCACGTGTCGCCCAGCATGCGGTAACCACGGAGCAAGTAGTCGCCCATGAGACGGGAGATGCGATCCTGCCGCTCCCGCCGCGCCTGCAGCACCTTGGTCTCAGCTTCCGTCGGAGGCTCCCAGGCGAAATCGTCCACCTCTAGGGAAAAGAGGAGCGAGGAGATGGAGCCAGGGCGGAGAGAACGGCCTCCCGCACCCCACGGCCGCGCCCCAAGCAGCCCGAGCCCTCACCAGCGCCGTTCAAGGCCATGTTGCCGTGGTCACTGGTAGGCTCGCCGGAAGTGACACAAATAAGACGCGCCCCCCTCCGGTTCCGCCTCTCACACGTGGTCGGCGAAAGCGGAAGTGACACACAACGGGGCCATGGGCGTCGCCTTACAGGGGGCGTGGCCGCTGTGCATTTGACCCTGACCGGGAGGCGTGGCTCTTAGCTGGAGTTATGAAGGGTACCGCCGTCTCCCTGGTAACACCTCGGTACTTGGATGTGGCTTTTCATCGTCTCCTCTTACGCCTGCGGCAGATCGAGGGGCCCTCGGCCTGAGAAATGCCCACTTCCTTCGCGGTTGTCCTTTCACAGGTGGTCAGGGGGCAGGCTGGACAGCGGCGTCCGCACTGGAGTCGCCGCAATGAAAGGTCCTCTGCGAGTGTGCAGAACCTCTTTAGGCCTCTTGGACCAGGCTGGCTACACGGGGGACTGCCTGGTTCAACACCCCTACCCATCGGTATGTCGGGTGTCCGTTTGTCTGACCACCTCTACCAGTGCCTAGAACTGGTATAAAGACTACTGTCTTAGGGTTACTGCTGCCGGGAACACCATGACAAAAACAGCCTCGGGAAGGAAGGGTTTATTTCACTCAGTTCCGTATAACAGTTGATCAAAAGCAGTGAGGGTGCCGGGCGGGGGTGGTGCTCGCCTTTAATCCCAGCACTCGGGAGGCAGAGGCAGGCGGATCTCTGAGTTCGAGGCCAGCCTGGTCTACAGAGTGAGATCCAGGACAGTCATGGCTACACAGGAAAACCCTGTCTCGAAACTAAAAACAAAAAACAAAAAAAAACCAGAAAAGGTAGTAAGGGCAGGAACTGATACCATGGAGGGATGCTGCTTACTGTCTTGCTCAACCTGGTTTTTTTTAATGTATATGAGTGCTCTAACTACATGTACAACTTTATGCCAGAAGAGGGCATCAGCCAGTTGTTTTAACCACTGAGCCATCTCTCCGGACCCTCAACCTGCTGTCTTATAGAACCCAGGACCATCACCCTGGGGGGTGGGGTACCATCCACAATGGGCTGGGCCTTCCCCCCAATCAATCACTAATTAAGAAAATTATAGGCTGGCCCACAGCCGGATCTTAGGGAGGCATTTTCTCAGTCCAGGCTTTCTCCTCTCAAATGACTATAGTCTGTGCCAAGTTGACACAAATCTAGCCCGCATACCTGCAGGAGTATTTTGTCTTAGTGAAAATTGCTGTGCCTGACGCCTAGGGGTCCGATTCCAGCTTCAGCTGTGCCTGCCTGTGAGAATGGCTTATACTCATGTCTGGGTGGATTGCAAATAAATTACCATTCCTCCTCATAATTCCGGGTTCTTTGTGAGAGCAACGAGTAATTTAAAAAGAGAGAGAGAGAGAGCCGGGCGGTGGTGGCGCACGCCTTTTATGCCAGCACTCGGGAGGCAGAGGCAGGTAGATTTTTGTGAGAAGAAAGAAAAGTGGCAGGGTGTAGTAGCTAAGTCATACAGTTTCCCAAATGTGAAATAGAGAATGTCAATAAAGAGAACCCTTCGCCGGGCGGTGGTGGCGCACGCCTTTAATCCCAGCACTCGGGAGGCAGAGGCAGGCGGATCTCTGTGAGTTCGAGGCCAGCCTGGGCT